GGGGGGGGGGAGGTCGACTGTCAGGGTTCCACCGCCCGCCGTTCAGCTGCGCCCCTTCTTGAAAGTTTTCCTCATGCCCCCGGAGAGTCTCATCCCCGGAGCAGCCAGCGACGGGTGTTGTGAGGGAGGGGGGGCATTGGGGGAGGGTGTGGCGCGTGGGCGGCTGAGCCCAGTAGCCTGGGCCGCATTAGCGAGGAAGCTACATGCAATTAGCACGTCTGTGGCTGACAGTTAGCGACGTCGGCTCAACGGCGAAATGGGGGCTTGTGAGAGCTCCCCCCTGCGATGTTTATGTCTCAGAGAGCCCGTCCCAGGGCAGCCTTTCAGCAAGGGAAACAGCGTCCCCCATTCCCCCCCCCCCATCAAATCACACGCTCGCACAGACGCACAGATCCACGCGGTGACGGGGGCTGCCTCGTGAGTCTGCTTGGAAAAAGCAACTGAGCCGTCGGAGATGATTAACAGCCGCAAACGTGTCTCATCTGCGGGCCGGGGCGGCAAACAGCTTCCAGAGGTGAAAATAAACTTCAGACGTGTCTTTCACAGATCTCCAGCTTCAGTGGGAAAAAATAAACAGGCCACTCCTTCCTAACTGCGCTGTAAGTCGCTACCAGGAGGAATTTAAGCATCTTCAGGAACCAGTGGCCGGCAGGATTTCAGTCCCTTTAGTTATTAATATATAAACACACAAGTATATATAGTATACAGTATGTATATGTAGTGCATATGCTCCGTATATATAGTATTTAGAAAATAACTGTAGTACAGCAAGCCAATATCAAATAACAGATACGTAGATCCTCAAATAAGCAATTGCTATTTATGCAAGATATTTGAAGTCATATAAACAGTTAACAGCTGAAGCTTATGCTGTTTCTCCTCTGCGGAGAGATGTTTTCACCTGGCAAAAGCACAGCGTGCGGGGAGCGGTAATCAATCAGCTCTAAGTCTCTAACTAAGCGTTTTTTGTTTTTTCTTTTGTTCTGTGAGTTTGTCAGTACAGCGTTAGGTACCTTCTGTGAGCCGCTATAACGAAATGAGTCAGCCTGAGCAAATATCTGGCTGCTGTTGGTCTGCTGCATCGGCTCGCTTCAGAATATCCGCCATCTCGCCAGATCACATGCGCCGAGCTTACAGGCCATCCCTGCTATCTCTCTGCTAGGAATCAACGTCCGTAATTAGAATCTGCGTCTTTATATTAAGCTCTATATATTGTCACAGTTAATGTGTGCTGCGTGTCTTTGTTAAAGCAGCCTAGCTTGCTTGTTATCTTTGGCTTGAGATAAAAAAACAAAAAAAAAACAACTAATCTGGCAGGGCCTTTCTGAGCTGGGAAATATCCAGAGAACAGGAATTGCTTTAGGGAATGTGAAGAAACCTTCAGCTGTGCATGAGATCCAATGTGGACCGATTTTAATTTTGGTTCAATGTTGTTTGTTTTAGAAAAAGATATATATTCATAAGGTCCGGCAGTAAGTGTTCTTGGGCTGAATCATGGTGTTGAGTCAAACCCTTTGAGGTTTCAAGTATCTTGCTTGTTTTTGATATACTCTGTAATTTGCATGTGTGTGTGTGTGTGTGTGTGTACTCTGGATTCCTTCCAAAGCCCTTGATATGCTTTTATTGATACCAACATTGCTATGAAGTGACAGAAGGAGAGAATAAATGAAGCGGTGAGGATGGACAGGGGGGTGGGGGGGCGGGGCCCCTTTTGGCGGGGGGGGGGAAAAAG